TTTTTTTCAAATTGACGTTTAATTTATTTCAGATTTTTATTAATTTTGCTTACATTTATTGAATGTTTAAATATGTAACTTATTTTCAGAAAATTCAATTGTACAATTGTCTTTTATGAACATTCGTCCCGCTGAGAATATTTGGTGGTGCCCTATACACATTCGTCAAAATACACAGAATAAGTTCTGATGTAAGAACATTCATCACGCGAAGAAGATGTGTTAGTGCTTTATGAACATTCGTCAAGTGAAAAAGATATATATGTCGGTGCTCTATAAACTAAAACATTCGTCAAAATAAACAGAACTTGTGTTTTATGAACAATCGTTATGAGAAGAAGCGATGTTGGTGCTATATGAACATTTACAAGACTAAAGGATCATAAAAAACAGTGCGAAATTCAAGCTTTGCGTGAAGACGTATATGAACAATGAACATTCTAAAGATTAATTAAATTTAATTAAATATTGTTTTATATGTTGAATATGTATGTAATAGAATATTTTAATGAACGATATTGAAGAACTTGTTTTAAATTTTAGGAAATGCCTATTCATGTTTGGGGACAAATATTATTTTTCAAAGGTGGGGAGAGTGTAACGAAATGTGGGTCCCCTGAAATGGAACTTGTTTCCCCTAAAATTGTGAGATGTTGTTTAAATCTTACCAATAATTGACTTTTCTTATTATATATTTCTTGTATAACTATGTTTAAACATTGATAACTCTAAAACTTTTTGTTATTCTTGTCTATGTTTTTGCATAGGAACACCTGTGCATTGTGTACTTAAAATGACGTACAATGACGTCTTTACCTATTTTGGTAATCACCAGTTCCGGTTTTGGTAATTTAGGTATTTTCCGAAATGGTAAATGGTAAACCAAAATGGTAAATGGTAAACCAAATCGGTAAATTGGTTTGCCTAAGTATAAATACGGCGGAGAATACAGATAAGTCTTTAGCACGATTTTATCCTGGGCAAGTAACACTCGCTAATTCCAAGCTATTTTGATATACGTACAGATACCATGTACCATACCAAGTAGTAACCAGACAGCCAACACTATTAAAATGTCCGAGGAGACGACGTCCGTATAATATGGGTTTGTTAATTCCTTTCCAAGTTACATTTAGAGAATAACTTCTCGAGAGAAACTATCTCTTTTGGCATTGAATTTGATTTACCATTTGCCGATTACCAAACTACCATTAGTAAACTTTCTGGGTATATTTTTCCGCTATCCATTTTCTTTAATTCACGATAGAAGGTTAATAAAGTATTTATCTGTTAGACTAGAATATTGTTAAGTTATTTAATATTTATATGTATTGTTTATATTTAATGCATCTTAAAGTTAATATAAGTTGATTTTTATTTAACGAGTCTGTTATTCTTACAAACATCGAGAGTTACTATTCAAAAACCTATACTCCAATCTACCCTTTTATATCAGAGTCATTACCTTACCAGAGGAACCAAACCTTACCAGTGTGTATTCAGAATACCAGAGTACCACATAGTACCACGATACCAGAGTCCACGCTACCAAATAAGAGTCACCAGATATAACTTTTATTTTTTATATACTCGTTCATTCTAACATAACACATTCTTATAGCAACGCACTAAGGGATAAATATTTATAGTTTACACTAAGGCCCGACCGCTCGGTTTTCGTTACAATATCATTGAGGAATTTTTGAAAAAATTGTTCATCTTATTTCCCTAGGAACTATCATTTGATATGAGTTAAAGCTTGTCTGAATGCTGTTCACTTTTAAGAGAGTATCAGAACTATTGGTTCAATAGCTAAATCATTGGTTAGTTTGGCAGATATTAAACTGTTGTGGGCTGTGTTATACTTGTAATTTTTATTGCAATAATTTCAATACACCTTATCGCTATTTATTCCTATCCGGATAAGTTCTAAATTTACACAACTTTCAAACCCAGTTGAAGCTATCTGGGGCCTTGTTTAAACAATGTATTGTGCATAAAACTTTTCATAGAGACATTTTTAAACCATCGTAAACACATCAAACAAAGCATTTTCAATGACTTTGATTTGTCTTTTAAACATTGCTTCTTAAACTATCAACACTTCAAAATGTCCACTTCCAAACCTTTTCCTCCCTCTGCTCATTACTGATAACCTTTGTTTTTGCTCCACTTGACCTCAACAGGAAATTGTCTAAGTAACTGGGTTTTTTTCCGGATTGGACTTAATAGCGATAAGGTGTATAGTACTTGTATTTATTCTTTTTATGTATTTAATGTCTTGTATATTTATTCTTTTATGTGTTCAGATATATAAATATATATTATATATTATAAGGGGATACCCAGTAATTCTGACAAACAAGCATTAACATGCATTAATGTGCATTTGACCTTCATGTATATTAAGAATGTGTCAGTTACTTGCAGTAAATTATGAGTTTTTTAAACCAATAATTGGCTGCCAAAAAGTATGAAATGTTAAAGTAAAGGTGTTGAGCCCAAAAATATAAAACCAGATGTAATGCGAGATATTGCTCATTTAGTATACCCTAGCTCAATGATGTTAACTAAATGTAATAAATATTGATATATGATCAAGATATTTTAAAATAATATTTGTCTTTTGCAAACTAGAAGTAGAGTATCTGTAAAAGAGAAGCAAAAGATACCAAATGAATATTAAAAGTCACAGTAAAAAATAAATTTACAACGCTATGGCAAAAGAAGAAAAGACTAAAAGGAAACCATATGTATTCAAAGCACAACATAGAAAACCAAAGATTGAGCAACAAAAACCCCCTCCTCCCAAAAAAAGGGGGTCGAACTAAGGACCTCAAGAAGGGTAAGCAGGTCCTGCTCCATATGTGGCACTTGTATTGCTCCTGTATGTACAAACCTGGTGATAAGTGTAATTTGGTAGGTCAGATTGGAGAAAAAGGAGAATGGGATTCATGTTACGACATTTGGAACATATCTGTCATGATTTTTGATACAACTATTCAATAACGGTCAACCATCTTATGCTTGCGTCTGTAAAATTTTCAAAAAGATGATTTCAACTTCACCACTTGGAGTTCTTGGTTTAATAGCTTCCTTGTGAGCAGCAACCTTCTATCAAGGAATTCATAAAAGGAAATGAAGCCCTGGAATATCTTATAAACTGGGAGATATATACTCCATATGCAGGCGCTGCTGGAATGTTGCTACATAGAAATGGAAACTTCACAATTCGGAGCTGAAGTCATTTCTTATCGTAAGTCAAGATATGTAAACAAATCACACAGTTTGGCATAACCAGATGAATCTTGTTGCCATATACGTATCAAGAAACAATGGCTTTTAGATAGCTATAAGAAGATGTGGTATGAGTGCCAATAAGACAACTCTCCATCCAAGTCACAATTTATAAAAGTAAACCATTATAGGTCAAAGCACGGCCTTCTACACGGAGATGCATTGATAATTGTGACAAAAATTAAAAAAATGTGCATGATATAAATATGCATCCTCTTCTCCATTGTGACACAAAACTAAATGTATCCTATTACAGATTGTTACACACAATGAGTAACAGGATAGGTGCAACTAGTGGAGCAAGAATGGCTCACCCTTTATGAGCACCAGATTTTAACCTTAGTTTTGATGAGGGGAGGGGGGTGGTGTTCCTCAATCTGAAGTTTTCTGTGCAATGTTTCATGGACTATTGTTTGTCTGTTTTTTTGGATTTTTTTTACTTTTTTAGGTTTTTGATTGCCTCCTTGATATCTTCTCCCCCTCTTTTTAAAGATAAAAGCTTTATGCAGCAAGAAAAATTAAAGCATGTCACATGTTATGGCTTAACTAGATGAAGAAGTGTCATTTATCAACAAAATTACTTGGTCATAGCAAAATAACCCCTGCGGCTGTGAAAGAAATGTACAACAGGAACATTGATAACATTATAAAGTGTACTGCAAGCTTTTTGATTTGTTCCTTTTATTCGAAAGGCAGAAAAGATGGTTATTTTGGTACATGGTAAAATAGTAAAAAAAAAGTCAAAGTCCCATAACTCACTCAAAATTGGTCCAATCAAAATTACAGTACAAGATGGTCAATTCCAAATGATGGCAAACAATTCTGCCAAGTATGAGAGCTTTTTGTCTAATGGTCTCAGGGGAGTTGAGTTTACAAGGTATCATTGAGGTATGTTAATTGAAAATATGGTAAAAGTCCTGTAACCCCAATAAAAATGATAAAATCGAATTAATGGTATAATAAGGTCAATATCATATGGTAGCTAACAATCTTGTCACCTAGGAGATCTTTATGATGAATGGTGTCAGAGGAATTTCGTTTACAAGGGGACATTGTTTCAATACTTCAAAAAATGGTTGCAGTCAAATAACACCTGTAAAAATTATTGAATCAAAATGGCGGTACAATATGGTCTACACAGGATGGCAAACTATTCTACCAATATGAAAGTTTTCTGTTCAACAGTTTCAGAGGAGTTGTGTTCACAAAGTTTCATTGTTAAATCCTTTTTTTAATGGGCAAAGTTCCAAATCTCCTGTTAAAATTGTCAAATAAAAATGATAGTACAGAATGATCTAGAGAATATGAGGACAAATAATTCTATCAAGTATGCAAGCTCTCTGTCAAAAGGTCTCTGAGAATTGACGTCTTTCAGATGAATGGGTGGACAGAGACCATCACCAAATGTCCCTGGACGACCATAGGTGACAAAAAGCTTTGACTTGTGCATGACATTTTAAAAATTAATTTTTTTCTGCTAACAGGAGAATAATCTTGAAATAACTTTAGCATGTCACATGGTATGACATAACCATATGAAGCTTGGTGCCATATATCAAGAAAGGTAAAAAAATATCAACTGTAACATAAAATAGGCATTTGTAGAAATGCAGGTGATGATAAAATAGTTTTTTCATGACAGACACATAGAAGGAAAACCAGTATCCACCTCCTTGAGAACAGGGGAATAACAAACAGCTTACCATTATACAATAATAGTGGAGTTAGTAGTAAAGACATCCATCTTTGTTCTATTGACCAATCTCGTATAGTAAACTTCTTCAAAGAATTACCAAACACACACTGAAAAGGTAAAACACATCATCTGAAACACAACAAAGCATTTATAAAAATACAGGAGTCAGAGAAGTAACAAAATAGTCTCTTCATGTTATAATTCACATATTAAGTTTAACTGCTAGGAAAGAAAAAGCTTTGAGATTATTTTTTTGTTCCACAAGAACAAGCACATGTATCTTGCATTCAATAAAAGCACTTGATTTTTTAGGGGTTCACATACAAAATATATGTCAAAAAACTATAGAATGCAATATGGTTTTGAAAATGTTTACAGTTTAACTGCATTTGCATAAAACTAATGAGACTTTACAATCATCATTTATTGCGAACCAAATAAAACTTTTCCACAGAGTCATCTCCTCTTGGTATTTAAACCTTTGTCAGTTCAAAATATTTAGCATTGTTCCTATTGAAATTTGCATTTTTTGTTTTGTATTTTTTAAGTTATAGAATACATTTAAGAAGGCCTTCATTTAAATATTGTCTTTTTCCAGTTTTTATTTGTCAAACACACAAAACAACAAATTTCAATAGAAACAATGTTGAAAATTTTGTCAGAAATCAACTTTTAATGTTTGAATCAGTGTTTACATTGAACAGATTGAAAATATATTATTCATATTGAATAAATACAACATCACATACAGTTTTGTGAGTTGAAACATGTATTTTCATCTACTTAGAAGATATTTTTTTACTCAGGTAAATTAATCAATGAATGATGGATTTCTCTTAGAAGAAATTTAAAGTTCCCGGTGATTAAACTACACAGAAAACAATAGCTATTGTATTTATTCAATGGGACAACAGAACTGACAAAAGCTTAAATACCTTGACCAAGAGGAGATGACTCTGTGGAAAAGTTTCATTTGGTTCACAATAATTGTTTTCTGTGTATTGTTTTTGGACTGTTGTCTGTCTTTTTGTCTTTTTTTCTTGGCCGTGATGTTGTTTTAATTTTGACTTATGGTATTTGATTGGCCCATGGTATCTTTTACCCCTCTTTTTGTTTTTAAACTTTATTTGTTTATTGACAATAACATCAATACTTACTGTTGCTACAAATGTCATGAATAAAAACACAAATCTGATCCAGATTTCAATCTGTGTGAATGAAGAGTTATAACACTGAAACTGAAAAATAAAACCATAAATTATGATTCTCCATATCTTCTGAAAATTAATTAACTGTAAATGAACACTATAACATAACTGAATTTTAGAAGATACGTATTTTAAAATTTGATGGGTGATGATTATTTTTGAATGATAGCCCGAACAATTATAGGGAAAATCATGTCAAGTTTCATGTATGGCAGGATTAAATAAAAAACCTTTTGACCCCATCCCACATTTATTTCTGGATCAGTCCTAATTCGACCAGTGAAATCAACAAAATGCAGTAATTAGCAATCAATTTGTAGTATTCTATTATTATAAATACTACAATCATTAACGAAATACTCAAATAAAATGCAATGTCTTTGAATTTAAACTTAGTGTTCTGTAATCCATTGAAATGGATTGTTATCATATAGTTATTGTAATCTAAGTATTAGACCTGGGGTCAATTACATGCCAAAGTATATATTACATTTCAATTACATTGATGTTTACATTGATTTTCAAATGTAATTAATAACATTACAATTACATTGCCAATGTAATTAATTTCTTTTCAATTACTTTTGTCCAAAGAAATGTAAGAGCTATATTATATAAGATTAAATCATAAAAATGAAAACAGGCTAGAATGAAACTTTTAACAGTGAACAGATTTTAACATATAAATATGATGGTTTAAAAGATAAATTGATTTTGGCATTTTAATCAAGGGACATTCTTGTAAAATTAGTTAAGTGAAAGGAAATATCCTGAGGCTAAGATTATTGTTAATTGTTAGAACAACATATTTACAAATTATATGTCAATTATGTCAATAAATTGTTATTGTTTATAATTTTTAAATTTTTTATGCAAAAAAATAAAATAATTAATTAATTAAATACAAATAAGGATTATATTACTTGCTATAATGATTAATGAAGTTTTATTATTAAGGAATGTTACATTTTTTCAACACATTAAAATGTTTATAAAGTATTAAAAGAAATCAAAGTACCAAGTGTATGATGTGTGATTGCATCAGAAAAGCCCAAAATGTATTTTAAAATTTTCCAGAAAATATCTAAGTGTAATTGAAAGTAATTGAAATGTTATTCATAATTACATGGCAAAAAGGCAATGTAATTAATTACTTTCAATTTCATGTAATTAAAAATATGCTCAATTACACATAACATTGAATTACTTTTAAATTTGTAATTAATTACAGCTAATTACAATTACATTTTTTAATTACCCCAGGTCTGCTAAGTATCCAAGATGTAATAAGATCAGGTCATCACAATGCTGAAATTATCTTAATAAATTTGCATTAATGGGTAAACATCCAGATTGGACTTATTAGTAAAGGTTATCTTACCAATGTTGTAATTAGATGTTTGAATATAGTTTACACTGGCACTAATATCGATTTTGTCATCAGCAAATTAAAACATAACTAAATTTGTATTCTTTTCAAACGGGATGTATAAAGACATACCCACTTTCATTTTGATCTATAAAGAGGTTAAACTCCTAACCATCCTACTGTCTGTCGATACATTTATTTTTGGCATTGCACAAGTCGTGTCTTCTTTGACTGTCCATGACGTTAAAATACTAAATCCCTGGGATGTGTTTTGGTTGATTTTAGTCTCTGATGCATGATTTTTTTATTATCAATTGTTTTGGCTTTTAACTAGCTGTCAGTAACTGCGAGTACTCTCAAATCGTACTTTCTTGTTTATTTGACCTGTTGATACAAATTGTAATGCTTTTCTGTTATTTAATGTTATTCAGGGTTATATCTGGTCTATATACCAGCTTTGATAAGTGTTCGGTATTACTATAAATTTTTCTTCGTACTATGAACATCAAAATTTTTTATTTTGTAAAAATATTTCCTTTCGCTATTGGAACTGTACACGTATACCTAACAACAAAATTATTTTCATTTACCTGTGTTTAAAGTAATTGCAAATGACTGATATTTTTGTTCGAACATATTGTTTTTCTTAAATTGTTTAACATTTCATACCGATATAACATGTTAATTTTATTATTCTTCCCTTAGTTTATTTTTTTTGTATTTACATTGTATCATGGGTTATTTGTTCAGTGTATGGTATCAATATGTACTTTGATTGAGTTAAGCTATTTCAGTTGATATTTTATAGTGTGTCTTTCTATGTTGTGATGTTACACTATTGTTTCAGAAAAAGGGTGAAGGTTTGGTACTATTAAAACGTTTAAACCCGCTGCATTTGTTTGCACCTGTCCTAAGTCAGGAATCTGATGTTCAGTAGTTGTCGTTTGTTGATGTGGTTCATAAGTGTTTCTCGTTTCTCGTTTTTTATATAGATTAGACAGTTGGTTTTCCCGTTTGAATGGTTTTACACTAGTAATTGTTGGGGCCCTTTATAGCTTGCTGTTCGGTGTGAGCCAAGGCTCCGTGTTGAAGACCGTACTTTGATCTATAATGGTTTACTTTTATAAATTTTGACTTGGATGGAGAGTTGTCTCATTGGCACTCATACCACATCTTCTTATATCTATGGAATTGATTAAGAAGATTGAATGTAACAAGGTTGATGTTAGTGGGCTTACACATATACATAAAAATCATATAAAGTATAAAAGACATAAAAAAAAACATATTTAATTTGAAATAACCAAAATAGAATTTAAAATTTCTTAAAGAAGGCTTAAAAAAAGGTAAAGTAAAATGGAATTTTTTTTAACTACCACATGGAAACAGGCACTTCTCTTTCAAGTCTGATCGATTCTCCCTGTCAGTTTCCAAAAAAGGATGTCTTCAATTGTGCTTAATAAAAAATAAAGAAGATACAATGGATAAGCATATTCTGTTCGTTAAAAAGAAACATTAAGCCAAGAGGGCAAATTGCACCTTTTTAACCAATATCTATTTTATTTAAACTTTTGTTTATAATTAAAATTCTTTTATTAGACCATATAATTAGTGAGTTCAAGTCACCACCTACTAACCTTGAATGGTGCATAAAACACAACCATCAATTACAAGCATACAGTGGATATAAACGAAATAAATGTATACTGTTCTGGAATTCAATTGTATGATAAAGAATCTGAAAATTATCCATAATTTACAAAATAAGGCAGATTCAAACTAATTTTTAGTGTAATTTCATGGATGCTACTGAATTTCTAGGAAGACAAATAATTCTTGTCCAATCATGATTAACATTCATATTTACTTGATAATTTGAAAACAACTGTACAATTTCATGCGTCCAAGGCACTTTTCAGGATTTACCTTAACCAGGACGGCTCAATGCTAAATATTTGAAAGCCATATGACCAAAAAGGACCTAAAATAATAGCCAAAACCTTCTAAGGTCAACTTTGACTGAGGGAGTTGAACCCTTATTTTCTTAAGAAGATATTTATTAAAACAGATGAAATCAACCAAAATAGAAAAAAAAGGACAAATCGAATGTTATAATTTTCTTTCGAAATACGTAAATGCCAATATAAACACGAGTGCACACTCTGAAATGTCTCGCCTGCTTTCTCAATCATTCCATACACCAAATATAGTTGACCTATTGCTTATAGTATTTGAAAAACAGAGTAAAACACAAAAACCAAATATTGACCAATGAACAATGAAATTGAGGTCAAGTTCAGATGATACCGGCTAGACCGACATGGGCATGTTACAATAATTCCATAGACGAAATAAAGTTGACATATTGGTTATAGTACTTGAAAAACAGACCAAAATACATAACTTAACATTGACCAATGAACCATGAAAGTAAGGTCAAGGTTAAGATGAAACCTGCAAGTCTGACATGTACCTCTTACAATCATTCCATACACCACATATGGAAGACCTACTGCTTATGGTATCTGAGAAACGGACCTAATCACATAACTTTAACCTTGATCACTGATCCATGAAATGAGGTAGAGGTCAGGTGAACCCTGTGTGACAGGCATTTATACGTTGCAAGAAACCCATATACCAAATATATATCCAAATACTCATAATAACCAAGAAATGAACATGACAAAAAAAATGTTTTTTTTCAAGCAATCACTGAATCATGAAAATGAGGTCAAGGACAATGGACATAAGACAGGCGGAAACTTAGTAACATAAGGTATTTGCATACAACGCATTAAGCATCCAGGTCTTCTACCTTCTGAAATATAAAGCTTTAAACAAATAGTTTACGCTGATGCCGCCGGATAGTAATCTCTATGTCTCGCATTCTGTAACTTTCGTCGCTAGCGAGACAAAAATAACAACAAAGCGTTCTCATTGCAAAAATAAAAAAAAAATAACATACAACAAAGGAAAAAACAAAAAATAAAGGAAAAAAAGGAAGAAATGGAATGAAACTTAAAGGTACATATATGAACTCCGAATGTTAACCATACAAGTCATTTAAACCATGAGGCTACCAACTTACATTAAAACTCCAAACTGCATTGAGGCAATTCGGTTCCAAGTTACAGCAAGTAAAAATTGCTCAAAATTTCTGAATCAATTTCATTTCTTTATTGAAATCACTAGATTAGAAAATTAACTTTTAAGCATACAAAGTAATCAGTTAAATATGATTTTGTGAATCCATGTCTAGATTTAAGAAAAAGAAACCAATGTTATTGAATAGATTGACAACACTGAGTTTTTAAATCAACATACATTTTTTCTATTAGACTTGATAAAAGGATGTGATATATAAAGGTTTACAATCCTTTTTAGCAGTTTTTTTTTAGGACATGCAATATAAAATTGGGAAATGGGGAATATGTATAAGAGACAACAACCCGACCAAAGAGCAGAAAACAGCTGAAGGCTACCAATGGGTCTTTAACGCAGCGAGAAAATCCCGCACCCGGAGGCGGACCTCAGCTGGTTCCTAAATAAAAACGTGTACTAGTTCAGTGAAAATGGACGGCATACTAAACTCAAAAACATATAAATGAACTAAAATTAAAAAAATATACAAGACTAACAAAGGCCAGAGGCTCCTGGCTTGGGACAGGCGCAAAAATGCGGCGGGGTTAAACATGTTTTGTGAGATCTCAACCCCCTCTCCCCCTATACCTCTAGCCAATGTAGAATAAAGAAACACACAGCAATACGCACAGTAAAACTCAGTTTAAAAGAAGTCCGAGTCCGATGTCAGAACAGGCAACAAAAGAAACTAAGCAAAATGATAATGATACATAAATTAACAAAGGACTACTAGTAATCATGGGCGGGTCCAGGTGAGGGCGTAATGGGCGTACAACCCCCCCCCCCCCCCCCTTTTCAAAAAGAAAAAAAAACTATCGTAATCTGCTAATATTGTTTTGAATATGGCAATTTATGATAAAAAAAATGTCAAACCTTGACACTTTAACTATAAAATATACATGCTCCAAGTCAGGAACCGTTACATTAGTGCATTTCACAATTATTTTATGTTTTTTAGCAAAAAAAAGGTACAAAAAATGTTTCGCCTCGCTCCACTCGGCCAAAGATTGGATTCTACGCCCCTTCTTTCAAATATCCTAGAAACGCCCCTGGTAGTTACTGACATGCCAGCTCCAGACCTCAATTAAACTGATTGAAAGATTATGTCTTCATCATATGAAAATCAAGCACAATCCCTCCCGTTAGGGGTTTAGTATCATACCATCATAAAATATATGAGAAGAACATAACCCGTATCATGCCAACAACTGGTTTTAGAATAAATGTGTGTATTTCCGATGCAAAGACCCTATGAGTGAATCAATAATTAATACCAAAATATGCCATCCTTAATGACCTGACAACAGTATCGTAACTATATCCCTTCTGAATAAGCCTGTTTAAAGGTTTGGTTAGCTTTTGAGGGGAATGCCGACATTTTTGTGCTTTGTAAAGAATATTACCATATAAGATTAGATGTGAATTACCTGAATGTATAAGATGTCTGCATGCTGATTTATATTTACGAATGATGTCCTTGTACCGATGATGAAATTTAGTAAATGTTTTGACTAGTTTGTGATATCGAAAACCCTGATGTAATATTTTTTTCAGTAATACAGAGATTTCTTTCGTTAAAAACAAATACGTTGTTACATACATGAGCGAATCAAACAAGTTGAGATATATAAACACCATAAGATGGTGACAAGGGAACGTCACCATCTAAAAATGGATAATTAACAATAGGAAATGAAAAATCATCTCTTTTATCATAAATTTTGGTATTTAGCTTCCCGTTAAAGATATAGATATCAAGATCCAGGAAAGGGCATTGGTCATTGTTAGTATTAAAATTGACTATTAGCTTTATTTAAAGTCAGTTCGGCAGGATAAATCTCTTTAGTGTACAATATATCATCCAAATATCTAAAAGTGTTATTAAATTTTTGTATCAGATGTTGTTTCGATGGGTCTTTGCTGATTTTAGTCATAAACTGTAACTCATAACAATACTGAAAAAGGTCCACAGTTAGTCCCCATTGGAATTCCGATAACTTGATGATATACGGAATCTCCATAGCGAAAAAAATGGTATCTAGTAAAAATGTGTAACTCTGTCACAAGTCAAACAAATGGTAATTCAGGGACCATGTAAATCAAGACACTATGTTATAAAAGAACTTACTATTTCAAGAGAAAATATCATCAGATAAAAAGAGTGATAACTGATAGATATCTAGGATGAAACAAATATAAACATATTTTATTTTGTATAAGTTTAGTAAATACAATCTGTCCTAAGTACATCATTCTTCACTGCAATTAATATTTTAACAGAGTATATATATCGGAACTCTGTTTTCTAGATAAGCTAAGGCTGTGGGTTAGTTGATGCAATGATTTCTTGTTTTTGGGAGAAATTAATCTAATCTAATAATAAAATGTTACTGCAATTCTACGAATGAATTCTCTGGGATTAACATCATGAAGATGCTTGATAACTTTTTTTTACTGAGAATATGCTTATGTTTTTTAAGTGTACCAGACTATGTATCCATATTTAAAACAACTATTATCTTATCTCCTCTTAACATTTTGTTCCATCTTGAATTTAGAGAATTTAGAGATTAAATACTCCGCAGGGCACAGCTTGATATGACTGCAGAGGTTGAAATTTGAACAGTTGGGACAAGTATGAACACAACATTCAAGCTTGATACAGCTCTGAATTCAAATTGTGATTAAATATTTGCCACGGCATAGGTTTCTGACACAGAATGAATGTAATCTAAGAACTTAAAAATTTTAATTTGAATATTTACCTATTATGGTCCAATGAAAAAATCTAAATACAGGGTTAGATTCAGCAACCCCAAGAATTCAAGTTTAATTTTGGACCTCCATGTGGACCAATTAAAAAAAATCTCAAATACAATTCATTATTAGATTCAGCATATTTAAAAACCCCAAGAATTCAAGACTTTGAATTAAATCCCATTGAAATTGGTCAAGAAATAAGCAATCAAAACAAAGTATTAGAAAACTATTTTGGCCCCCTTTTCCTTAACAGTTAGAGCCATAACCCCAAAAATCAATCCCAAACCTTCCTTTTTTTGGTATGGAACCATGTGGTACAATTTCATAGAGATCCATACACTTATACACAATTTATTGTCCAGAAACAAAAATAACTAGAGGCTCTAAAGAGCATGTGTCCCCGCTCACCTAGGTCTATGTGCATTATCAACAATGGACTCTCTCCAATATTGTAAACAAGAATAGACAAAAAAGTTTTTTTTATTGATCTTGTATTGCTAATAGTTTTGTCTGTTTAGTTTCTTTCTATCTTCTTTAATTTTAGATCAAAACACAAAAAAGCCTCATTTAAGGGTAATCACTCTTATGAAGAATGACAGTCTACTAACTATATCGGCAAAATTTGACTTGTTTGTAGATCTTCCCTTGCTGATCTTATTTGGTTTTTAAAGTTTCTATCTATCTAACAGCATTTTTATCATATAGACAAAATGCAAAGGAGTCGTCGGAAGATTTACTCCATATTGTCTTATATGTAGAT